AACCAAGGAAGACCCTTCTAATACCTAAACAAGTTCTCATTCTTTCTGAAACATCTGCATTTTTCCTTCCTTTTTATTTTTATTTTTCTAAAGTTTGCCAGAAGGTGATCACTAGAGGGAGTGGGAGAGGAAGAAAGTATACCCCTCCACCCCCATGGAGAATGGCTACTCAGCAATACCTTCTTCTCAGTCTCTTCCACCTTTCAGGATTTAGGGCATGCATGCACATACGCCTGGCATGCTTCTCAAGCTACCAGGTCTGGGACTCAAATTACACAGTTGGCCAAGTGAGATCCAGTGCTTTAATCACCATGGCGTGGGCTGGCTCCCTTCCAATTTTTTTTTTTTAAGAGAGATTTTTGCTATAGGGCTTGTATACTCACAGAGAGAGACAGAGATACAGAGAAACTACAGAAAGACAGAAAGTGAGCAATCACCCCCAGGGGGATGGCCAGACCACAATCGCTTCTCTTTCATTCTCATCTCAGGATTTTGGGCATTTACGCACACACACCCAGCACGAGTTTTTGGTTTTGGTTTTTAAGAATTATTTTTTATTTAACTTTATTTTCTTATTTGTTTGTTTCTTAATTTGACCAGAGATAGAGTGAGAGAGAGAGAAAGTGAAAGTGAGAAATCAAGCCACCAGGTCTGGGACTCGAACCATGGTCGGCCATGTGAGAATCCAGTGCCTTTAACCACCATGCCACCTGCTGGCCCCCAAGTATGAGTTGGCGTTTTTCTGCGTGTGTTCACCAGAAAGACACAGAGACAGAAAGCAAGAAATTACCCCCTAGGGGGGATGGCCACACTGCAATCCCTTCTCTTCCATTCTCCTCTCGGGATCTTGGGCACACACGCACACACACCTGGCGTGAGTTTTAAGCCATCGGGTCCAGGATGCAAACAGCGGTCGACTACATGGGAGTCCAGCGACATAGCCATTACGCTAACTGCTGGTCCCCCTCCATTTTTAAAAAGGGATATCACTGGAAAAGCATCTGAGCCTGGATGAATGTGAACATATACTCATATGGGTAAAAACAGAACAATCATTTCTAAAAGAGTGTCTAACCACAGCACTGCTCTGTTTGGTGGATATCTAAAGTACTGATCCTCGAGTCATACCATTTTCCCTGTGCTTCCTTCACAAAGGCATGCACTACAACACTCCTATTGAGACAGGGACAGCCTACAGGAAGCTCGTATTAGGACCCTGACAGTAGCAACATAATAGTGTTTCCTGTCTGCTTTTACAGCCTTATCTACCCTCTCTAGTCAGTCTTCTGTCTGTGCCTGTTACTTTTCAATTAATGTCCCCATGCTGACGACCAACATCAATGTTAAAAAGTCCTGCCTGCCTCCAAAATATTTCCCTCAATAGCCTGTTACTTGAAAGACCAACGTAAAAAAAGTATTTAATTTGAAAGATGTTGGTCTTTAACAATGATCTATAACACAGTAGAAAGGACGAATAGTTATAGCTAGCCTAATAAGATAAATGTAGAACAAGTCAGTTTTGATTAAAATAAGAAAAGTAGCATATATTGGTTCAAAACAAACAAACAAACAAAAAGAAAACCAAACAATACAGCTAGTAGCTTGCTTCCTGAAGGAGTGAATTATAGAGGTCCAGGTCATTATAGGAAAATGATGAGTTAAGAAGGTCTAAAGAAAGACTAACTCTCTTTCCCCTCCTCCACTCCCTTTCATGCTAAGGCATTATATGTTTAAAACCTATAGAAATATAGAAATTCCAATTACTCTGGGCCGTTTTTTACTCTTAGTCAGAAGTCTTAAGAAACTTAACTAGGAGAGAATGGTCCATTCCCAGACCATTCCTTGCTTTAATACATTGACAAGGTAAGGAGGCTCATAGCTTTCTTACATCTTCCCACTTAAGTAATTACCATCTCACAGAGTATGTAGATGGCTGTTTTGTCAGCACTTCTTCAGCACAGATGCTAAACACAGGAATGTTTCAATTCCTTCTTAAGGCCAGCCTGTTAGTACATGCTCATATTTGATGCATGAGAATACAATTCCTGTGGCTTAGCATCTCTGCAAGATCAAGCAAATCAGATTAACAGCTATAACTCTGTCAACACACAGGCTGGGATCTAATGAGTAGTAAGCTGATTTTTAAGACAGAGACTATGTACATCTAAAATTAATGGCCATAGGTAAAACTAGGCCCAAATAAGAGATCATGAATAACTCCCAAGCAAAATCAAACTACCAACAGTGGAATCACTGCATGCTATTAAATAATTCTGATCAATTTTTGCATGTACACAAATGAAGTTTTGATAAGAAACCACTAATGTCAAGATTATTTAAAACATACCTCAGCCCTGGATGATATGCATGAGTCCAAATCTTTAACATAAAACTAGATTTTGAGGTATAGTATGTGAGGTAGGAAAAAAGCATTTCTCAATCCTATATCAGGAAAGTTTATCATCATCACATCACATTCCAGTCTGTTTCCACTCTCCATCCTTTGGGGACAGCTCCACCAGTTTTATGTCTGAAGAGGGAGGGAGACCAAGATATGAGATTCACCCTCAGATGATCGGATGACCTACGGCCCCCATTCCCTTGGCCAAAGCATTTAGTCTAGGCAGGGTTACAACTGCTAACAAGGAAGGCCTCATCAATCACAATCCTTCCCTGGAATTTTCCCACTTTGGAGCTGAGAGGAAAAAAGACCTGATATAGAGCTAGGAGTATTACCAAGCTAGAAGGATATGAATATAGAGTTTATTATGGTACTGAGAAAACAGGGCTCTTGACAGAAAAAAGAAGAGCAGAATTGAAAGAACCAAAAGAAATGCACAGAGACAAAGAAACAGAAAACAAGCTACCAACCTCAAAAGTATCTGAATCTCAGGACTTACTTGGGGGTAAACTAGTCTTCTACCAAGATATTAGAATCTGGTTATGGCTCAATTATGTAAGCCCAAAATGCTTATTTTGCTTAAGATTCTTTCCTCTGAATTTCTATCCAATACAAAGTCCAATTAGTTAGGAAAGGACCCTAACTAGTATAATATAATCAACAATATACTCTAAATTTAAAAGTATGTCCAAAGAGTAAACAGAATTCTTAACCTCTCTTTCTAAATGAAGAAAGTGAACCACATAGATATTCAGTAATTGCCTGCTGTTTTCAACACAGGCAAGAAGAAATACAGTATTCTTAGAAAAGAAAAATCTTATAAAAGACAAGTTCTTCCATCTGGCAAGTTAGAGTTTCTTAAATTCCCAGGGACATTTGAAGAAAAGCAGTTTTGTTTCTCTTGGGAAGAAGCCAATGTATTCACCAGTGATTCTGTAAAAATGACAATTTACCAAGTCAGTGCACTGAGTAGCCAGTGAGAAAGGAACAGCTTAAGACAGGTCCAGAGGCCCGAAAACCTTCTCTAAAGCTACATCTTTAATGTAGCTTCACTGAGAGCTTCCTAGCACTTGTACAGGCTGGTGAGAAAAATGTCCAAACATGAGTGGCTTCAGTCAGTGGCATCCCTCTAAGTCTTATGAGGAACCTACAAAATTCCTACCCTCCATTAGCTTCAGATTGAGACCTAAAAAGGATGAATAAAGACAATGACAGAGAATGCATACTTTTTCGGGACAGAGCACTGGCCATTACTATCCTTTTTGGCTTACATTATTGATTGCAGTTATCATTAATTTCTCACTTACATGTTAGGAACTACTAGGCATTTTACCTTTATTATATCACTTAATCCTTCTAACTTCTCTTATGAAGCAGGTAATACTATCTCCATCTTACAAATGAGAAACTATAGTTCAAGAGGATAAGCAACTTGCCAAAATCACTCATCTGGCAAGTGACTGGGCCAGGATTTGAATCTCTGTTGGACAGGTTTATGAGTTTAATCATTATGATATAATATATTGTCTCTCAATTTTTATTCATTGTTTTCCTCCAGGGAGGTCACTACTCCTTAGTTCCTACAGTATCTAAAGGCATTTTATTCATTGGTCCTGGTACCTGTCTAACTCTAACACAGTTGAGAGAAAGGAGATTAAAATTTAGATATCTCTAATCAAGAAGACCTGGAACTTTTATAACACTTTTAAAGGAATATCTAATGAAATTACAGTTAAACTAGAATATAATACTTAGTTTTACTGTTTCTTTCTTCCCAAGACGGGGTTACTAAGTCTGAGAGTCAAGAGATCTTGCAATAAATTCTAGAGACAGATGAGCGATGGCTGTTGAATCCCAGTGGTGTGCCTACAAGATGCTATTTGGCACAGACAACAGAACATAATTCTTCCTCCTGAGAACTTGGATGCCCCAAAGTGGCATAGCACATATTGACACTTACCCCCCATGCAAACATGAATATAAAACATGTTTCCCT